AACAACTAAACAATTTGCAATGCATTGAGTCGTTGTTTAAACTTTTGATATGCTTAAATGAAGGCCAATATGGTAGATAGATGTCCTCTAGCATTACAAAATTTCCTCCACTTCGGGGAACGAAATTAATTTACTTCAATAAAAACAGCTGGATGCACAAGCGCAGCACAACACAAGCAGTTACAATAGGTTCCTGCAAAATGACACTGCACGGAAGAGGTCAGTGAGCGGTTGAGTCTTGGAAATGAGATTGGTAGGTTGAACTCGTTGAGAGTAGGACTTTTAAAAATATTGTGACTGATCTTACGATTAGCAGTTCTGATGTTGGAATGATGGGGTTCACTTTTTGCAGGCGAAGTCAATAAGCCGTGGCTCTGTGACCCTACGGGAAAGCGTTGAACCTGTAAGAGGATACCTTCCACAGGTACTTTATACCTCCATTGGTGCGGTTGATTTGATTTTGCTAAAAACACCTTTTAGAAGCGGTCGGCGCCTTGCTTTCCGACAATCTCCACGGAATCGGATATTCGCGAGCGTATCAGCACACGTCGCAAGATGCGTGATGTGGAGGTAGGAACAAGATTATAAGGGGTGGTATTGTGAGCGTGGTAGGGTGACAGCACGTGACACCTTTCAGTCTCGCTTGGATAAAATCTTGGACTACGAGCTGCCCTATGCGTCCGGATTTAAGGAAATGCGCAACACTTTGCGCGAAATCAACGATAAAATGGCAAAGCATCGTCTGCTTGTTGATCGTTACTCGGGACTTCAAATGAACGAGGACAACGAACCAGTAGCGGATCGCGTTGCGGCTAAGGTGGATGAATTGATACCAAGGTGAAAAGCTCTTTAAAATGAGTTCGACCATATCTCATTTGCTTATTCTGAAAGTTGGTATTACTCCGTTATTGCATCTTAGTGGTATATGAAGAACTGAATATAAGATGCGTGAAAATAGTCTGTGGAATAAGTTTTGTTTTTACCATTCTTACGATAGCATAATTTATGCATGTTTCTAGAGTGCCTGCGTTGTCCGGAGTGCAAAATCCTTTTAAACCGCGAAGTGATGAAATCACGAGTTCATTTGATCCTCGACTTATTCCGGTAAGTTACAAAAATGACTGATCACACATAAAATTGTAAATCGCCCGGCACCATCAGTAGACTTTATTTCAGTTGCAAAAAATAATGCTTAAAACTCAATAGGTCCCTCGAAAAGGTTGCTAACCAAATTGCTGCCATGCGATTGTAGGCAAAGTTGTTTTCAGCTACGTGGAAGTGTACGGCGTATGTCAACACCAACCTGCCTCCAAACTGTTGATAGCAGACCTTTCACTTTGGTATGACTATTACCTGACGGTAGCATAAAAATTAAAAAAAAAAAGCATCAGAGGTCCGATTACAGCTTAAACGGTGGCACCGGTATGAAGATGATCGCAGTGTTCAGGGGTGATAACATCTGAAGACAGTATTCGACACTAGACCGTGAGGACGTAAGTCAAGTGTGACCTCATGAAAACTCGAGGCCAGTAATTTGTCGCCTGTGTGCTGTAGGGCTACTCAACGGGTCTCTGCGTTACGCCGAGCGAAGGGACCGCAGAGCTGCGTGGACGCATTCGTAACCTGCTGTGCAGGACTCGAGAGACTAGCCGACAAGATGCCGCCAACCCCCATCTAAAGCCTTTTTCTACCACTCACAGAAAGGCCGAAGTAGTCGCTGAATGAGCCAAATCCTCCCACTTACCCTCACACTTACTTGCACGTTAAGGCTTCGCTAACGCTTCGTTTCTCTTCTATCATCACAACTATTTCAACTGACTGCTTTTAACCAGATCCAATTGCCCAACGTCCCTGATTCCTTCACGAAAATGCGGTTGAAAAACAGTTTACAGAAAAGCCCATTACTAGTGACCAACTGCAACCCCCATTGTCATCCACGCCCATTTGTGTTTTGGCTTCGACTAAGTGACATGAAATGGTGAGAGAAATGTGGATTTGCGCTTCTGACATGAGGGTTCAAATCAGTCTTATTGCCATGATGGAATAAACAACTGACCCGCTTTTCGATTCAAGGCGCCATCTTCATTGTTATGAGATTATAGGCCTTCCCATGAATTAAACAAAGCGGTGCAAGGTAGGAACAGATACGCCTAACGATGGGCTGCAAGATAAGATCATACTCCCTACTTATAACCTTCAAAATGATTTAACAACGTGGATAAGACGCCAATTTGCCGGATTCAATTCGAAAGAAGTCAATACGATACTATTTCAGGGCGATATTATTTCATAATTTACTAAAAATTTAAAAGGATCTACGGAACAGCGCTTCGACAATAGTCATCCAATGGATCCATCGCCGTGAGCGGTGAGGATGCATGGCCATTCAACACGCAGTACACATTAGAAGAGCATTACTAACTCCTCAATCACCTGCTGGTACGATGGTCTGGCAAAATCACAATGACTAAGGCAAATTTACATCAACAGTCAATGAGAGACTAATTAAAAACTTTAAGGTGCTAATGAGGGATTCGAACATGTTTAGGGAGATAAAAGAATTTGATTGAGTTGAAAGCACTTGTATGCACACAAGTACACAGGCAAAGCTGATTAAGGTACCTTGCCAAACACCTAGGGAAGGAGATGCAAAAAATAGTGACCATACGCAATAGTATCTAAGGTGAGAGGAGAGGGGTACATGAATCGATCATATGGAATTATGTACAAAGATAATAAGAATTCACTTTTTCTTCTTGAGCCACACATTCGACTTTGTTTTGGACGACTTCGCAGCGTTTTCCTTAATAACCAACTTTTTCCCTTTAGTCTTTTTCAACTTCATCTTCTGCTTCTGATGGACTTTGGTTAGCAGGTGGGTCTGACTCGTCCTCAAAGGGGAAACGATTTCACTGGTTCCGACGAGAGTAGAGCGAGTGGAAGTGGAGAACGAATTTGGAAGGCAAAGCGGACGATCAGGCGAGTGGACAGCTTGCATACTTCCACCGTCTCTTCCCAACTCACTGTCTTCAAGCCTCAGCACGACATCTTGCAAGGGTAAAAAATGTGCGAGTTCCGAACCTAGATAGGACTGACATTCGGTTTGGAATGTGCTAATTGCTTCTAGAGGCCAAAGATGAATGTGCGTGGGTGAACACTAAAGCAAATAATCTGCGCAACTATGAACGGTTTACGCATAGTTGACGAAAAGCGTGGAACAAATTTCCAGTAGAAATACAGGCGAAATCTACTAGTGGTATGCAGGCAGCTAGGAGTAATGGTCACGCAGACCTGACATCAGTCGTACTTTACCATTACTGTGCAGAGCCGGATTTGTATGCCAATATGCGCGAGTGTACACATTTGTTTACCTAAGAACGCCATACCAATGACTGCCCAACCATCGTATTCGTCTGAAATGTGAGGTGATAAAGGCAGTATTGGGCTGACTTTAAGTAATGTACAGTGTTTTTATGAAGCAAGTGATTACACCTGAGTACTGAAGGCTAGGAGGCTAGGGAAACAGCAGTGAATTTCGCAAAGCCAGTGATAAGAGCTAAAACCCTTCTTATGACCAAATGAAAACTAGTCAGGTCCTCCAAGTCACGCAATGTTAATAAATAACCAGAAGAGAAATAGCCAAAAGTATCTGAAATCTAATGACAAACAACTGAATGTAATTAGATGAGAAGCCTGGGACTGCTGCAAAATGACAACTCACTAGAAGGTGTATAAGATGGAGGCGGGATCAAAGAATCACATTCTGCATGCGGTTTGCTAGCATAATCGCCACTGCCGAGACTGTTCACAGGAGTGGTAGAGGATGAGATAACAAGAGTGGGAAGATCAGTACGCTTGCGAGACCTAGCCCGCAGGTTCATAAGGCGTAGAATCTCACGTTTACGAATTTGGTACTTCAACTCTATGCGACGCCGATAATCGGCCTCTTCACGATTGAGAATGTTCAGGAAAGTGCGCAGCTCCGCTTCAGAGAAACAGGACCACTGAAAGGTACGAAAACCATCATACAGCACATCTCTCATTCAACTCCTTGCAACCAAGGTTCAAGAACCATTAGTTAAATATTTCTTCAACTGCAAAATGCGTAAGAAAATGAACAGTGAAGTATACAACTAATTACGACTGCATATCTAATGCTGCGACACCTATTGCCTTCAGAACAAAGAAGTATTCGATACGAATGCTGGAATGTTTGTTTGTGTCCTTCCCACAGAAGGTGTGAACGCTTTATAGCAGGTGGTAAATAAGCAGATGGGAAAGGAGACAATAAACCTCAATGTCGCCAGTCTCGTTCTCCTGCAGCACGATGCGTTTGACAGCAAGGCGAACATTGAAGTGTTCACGATGCAGAGCCTCTCCTGCCTTGCCACCTACTTCGACAGAGGGGTCCAAAGTCCACTGCAGCAGTAGACCCAGTGGCGACTCATCGTCGAACAACTTTCGTACTGAAACTAAAGGAAGCAAACGGCAGCAGCAGAGTTAAGACGACTGATCTTTGGCTCGGCAGATAATTGGAAGGACACGATCAACCAGCTCCCTTAACAGCATGAAGATTCTATGGTGACTGATATAAGCGAGTGAATGAGCCTTGTTCAACGTATCTGTAATACAGTATTCATCAAATTGAACTAACGGCAGAAAAAGTGATCGAAA